TGGCTGGCGCCTTAGCCGGTTGAGCTATAGGCGCCGAGCCGGATTTTTTTTTTTTTTTTTTTTTTTTTTTGAGACAGTGTCTCACTTTGTCATCCTCTGTAGAGCATTGTGGTGTCCTAAGTCACAGCAACTTCATACTCTCGGGCTCAAGGGGATCCTTGCCACAGCCTCTCAAGTAGCTGAGACTAGAGGTGCCCGCCATAACACATGGCTCATTTTTCAATTTTTTTTTAATAAAGACAGGGTCATACTCTTGCTTGAATTGGTCTCGAACTCCTGGGCTCCTCCTGCCTCAGCCTCCCAGAGTGCTATGATTACAGGCATGCACCACTGTGCCTGGCCTGGGAGTAAGTTTTGATCACTATCTTGGTCCATTACTCTTTAGATCTGGAGGGATCTAGACACAGCTCCAAGCCTCACCAGAAGTGGCAACCTCCAAACAGCCTGGCTCCATTAATTCACTGATATTATAAATGATTCTAATGTGAGCTAACACTGACAGGGGCACCTACTACCAGGCAGGGCCTATGCCAGATGCGTTCCAGGGATCTAACTCACATAGTTCTCACCATGAAACAAAAGAGGCTCAAAAGGGTGCAGTGACCTGCTCAAGGTCATACAGCTGGTTAGGCGGCAGGACTGGGACCCTATCAGTATGCTTATTGACGAACTAAACAGGTGGATGAAAGAAGGTCTGAATGTTTGTCCCAGACTCCCTCCAAGGTTTCTTCCTACCAGGCCCTCTTCCCCGCCCCAGGGGAAGCCAGAATTTAAACCAGAGGTTACTGGGGAGGAAAATACTTAACTCAAGGGAATGTTGACTTTTTTGGGGGGCGGGGGGAAGGGGCTGGGTTTGAACCTGACATTTTGGCCTTGGGAAAACTAGATGGAGAGGAGAGTCTTCTTTATGCTCTTCAGTTCATTCTACTTGGCACTTTCAAAAAGAAACATATTTAATCGCAAGGGGCTGAAAGGTGATGGAAGCTTAAGGATGCCAGGTGGAGGCCTAGGAGAGGAACAGATAGAAGCCCAGAGTAACTGTCAGGGCAGTTAGGGGGAGCTGGAGGCTACAAAGGGGACCAAAGGCCATAGAAGGCACCAACTAGAATATGGAGGCGGTTCTGGGTTTCCTCACCCAGCATTGCTCCCTGTTACCATAGCCAGCATTCTTTTCCTTCCCTTCTCCATTTGGCCCATGGGGCTCAGGGGCGCCATCTATCGCCTCCATCTCCATTGTACCAAGAGGTCCAGGCCACACCCCCTGCCATGGTGACTGGTTCAGGGATGAGCACGTGATCACTAACTGGGCCAATAACAGTGAGGCCAGAGACATGCTTTTGATTATGGCAAAGAGGCTTTCTTCCTGCTGGAGATGCTAGGCCAGAGGATGTAAGATGGGTACATGTGGCTCGGCGCCTATGGCTCAACCAGCTAAGGGCCAGCCACGTACACCTAAGGTGGTGGGTTCGAATCCCCAGCCCGGACCCGCCAAACAACAATGACGGCTGCAACCAAAAAAATAGCCGGGCGTTGTGGCGGGTGCCTGTGGTCCCAGCTACTTGGGAGGCTCAGGCAAGAGAATCGCTTGAGCCCAGGAGTTGGAG